TCTTTTTGTTCTCGAAGGTTTGGGACGATTTTGCTCCTTCCCGTTTTCTGGTACGTCTGTCGTCATTCGGTTGAGCTTCCCTCCGGTCCTTTCTAGGGCTTGTGGGTCCTATTCCCGGCAGCTTCTGGGTGTTTGGCCTTCTTGTTCTTTTGTGCATATCTCTTCTCTTTGCGCTGTCTCGGTGCTACTCGTTTTCCTGGGGGCGATTTTGCTCCTCTTAAAGAGTCTTTTCACTCCTGCCCTTCTGCGGGATGTTGGTGCGGGGCGGCTCCTTATGCGGGTTCTTTCCCTGTCGGCTGCACTTGTGGCGGTGGACTTGCACGCTTGTGGCATTTTGGTTTTGGTCCTGCGTTTTCTTTTCCCTCCTGGAGCTGTCATAGGATTGGCTTGCGGAGGATGTAGAGGCGCTTGGGTTCGTTCCTGGGTCTGGCACCTTGGTTTCTGCTGCTAGCTGTCGGTATCGATGTTCCTTCTGTGCCGTTTCGCAGGCTGTCTCGTGCGTTATTTCACCTCCGTCCTGCTTATGCACTGCCTGTGCCGCCCTGGTCTTTGGACAGGGTGCTCTCCTGTTTTTCTTCTCCTTGGTGGTTGTGGCTCCTTGGGGTCAGGTTTGCTTTGCCTCGGCTCTCTTTTTATGTTAGCATTGGCCTCTGGGGGTCGTGTGGCAGAGCTTCATGCTCTTCTCAGGTGCAGTGGTTTTTGGCTCCTATGGTCGTGGTCATAGGTTTCTTCGTCTGCGGCCGTTCTCCCTTTTTCTGGCGAATGTTGTGCCTGTTGCTTTCCGGAGGGGTCCTTGAGTTGTTGTCTCGCCTTCGTGTTGAGGAGTGGTTCACCGACCGCCTCCCGGGTATGTCCCCTTGTTTTCTTAGGTAGTCTTTGGTGAAGTAGCTCCAGGGAGCCGTAGGGGCTCCCCCCAGAAAACCAGCATTGAATGTAATGAAACGCCATTTTCTGGGTGAGTCCCGGAGGCTCCCCAGCACCCTCCCGCCCTCCGGTCGGCGGTTTTTCGCGGTTTTGATATCCAGCCTCAGAACTGGGACGGGGGTCTGGGGCTCACCCTTCCCCCTCCCGGGGAGGGGGAAAGCTGCGCAGACATGTGGCGCGGCTCGTGTGACGTCATACTTGTTAGTTCGTTTTCCTGGGGGAGTTCTGTCCACTCGTTTGTCGATTTTTGTTGTTAACCAGAATAGGGGTTTGTTTTGTGGCGCTTACCTTTCTGGGTGCCTGTCCCGGTCGATGGCAGATATAGAATGCTCCAAATCACATGTGCATTTCTATGGGCCATTGCTCCCTGTGCCTCTCTGAGGGGGCCAGGTTCTGGCTCGTGGTCCCCGGTAGGCCTAGAACTCCAACCACATCGACTGATGCAAAATAGTTAGGGTATCCATATCAGCCATGGATAGCTCCGGGGAGCCTCCAGGACTCGCCCAGAAAATGGCATTTCATTACATTCAACGCTGTTTTTTTTTTTTTATGAAACATGGAGCAGCCTACCTGCTGAACACCTCTCCACTGGAGAAACATTCTCAGCTGGGTCTTCTTGCTGTACCTTTTGAAGGGGTTGGAGTTCTTCAGTGGTCAGTTCTTCGTTGTGTTCTTCCACCAACTCCTCCACATCATCACCATCCAATTCCAAGCCCATTTGCCGGCCCAGGCACATCATTTACAGGCTCAAACCCCTCTAAAGTCTAGTTCTGTCACACATTCAGGCCACAATTTTCTCCAGCCAGAGATCAGGGTTCTTTGAGTCACTTCTTGCCAGGCTTTGTCAACGAGTTTTGAAGCACTACAAATGTTAAAATGGTCTTTCCAGAACTCTTTGAGGGTGAGGTTTGTGGCTTCAGTCACTTCAAAACATTTCCGAAAAAGTGCCCTTTCATAAAGTTTCTTAACACTTTGGCGTGCCCCGCGCGCCACCCCTCAACCGTGCTATTTGGGTCCCAGGGTTTCACGGGAGCATGCGTTAATTCTGAAAAGTGTATACTCTCTTCAACTTTGTCACCTTAATTCTCGTCCTACGAGATTAAATTTGGTATCATTGTGTTCGCAATAGAATTCTCTACAGCACTAAATGCATATAAACTCCAAAAGCCTGGCTAATTACCTGCAGCAAACAGAGAAAGTGCGAACGAGTTACCCAGGAGCGCGCAAAAGCGATAAAATGTGTTCACTCTTTTCACTTTGGTCACCTCAATTTTCGTCCTTGGTCTTTCATTTTGGTATCAATGGGTTCGCAATAGAATTCTCTAGAGGAACATTAGCATATAAAATAAAAAATCTGATCACACTCCACCCGCCGACGAGTTGAAGACGGGCAACATGTTAACCGCGAGTGAGCGCCCAGACGCCTTCCAGCTACACTCCCAATTCCTGCCCACAAATGTTTAGTATTTAGTATTTTAGTATATATAGTATTATAGTTTAGTATTTTTTGTGTAGTAGTTGTACATCACATAAGCATTGTACATAGCCATTTGCACAAAATAGATAGTCATTTTCTTCGTCCATTTGTGAATTTTCCTTATGAAGTGATAATATTTGATCATTTGGTCAAAGTGATCAACACCTTTCATGTTTGTATTGTAGTCACAGATTGCATTCGGCTTGTTGACAGTTACCAAACAGTCCCCAAAAAATCGGATAAAAACCTGATTTTTGGGAGTCATTTTAGTGGATGACGCAATGCTGCGTCATCCCCGAGATTATCGACAGTAAATGGATGACGCAATGCTGCGTCATGCCCGGACTAAAGTGTTAAAATTCGCTATGATTTTCTGGTCCATAGGCTGAATTAGAGGAGGGGTTATCTTGAGGTTATCTTGAGATGATTTCGGGGCTTTTAGTGTCCCCGCGGCCCGGTCCTCGACCAGGCCTCCATCCCCGTGACAGCTGACTAACTCCCAGGTACCTATTTACTGCTAGGTAACAGGGGCATTCAGGGTGAAAGAAACTTTGCCCATTTATTTCTGCCTCGTGCGGGAATCGAACCCGCACCACAGAATTACGAGTCCTGCACGCTATCCACCAGGCTACGAGGCCCCTGCCCAGGCTACGAGGCCCTACGAGGCCCCTACGAGGCCCCTACGAGGCCCCCTTAATACCCCTTAACGGGGTGTTAAGAGGAAGGAACTTTACTGTGAGAAATTTACTGTATCTGTGTAACAATTCATCTTCCAAGCCTGGAGGATGAGCAGGAGCATTGTCAAGGAGAAGCAGGGCCTTGAGTGGCAAATTTTTCTCCTGCAGATATTTTTCTACGGCAGGGCACACCACTTCATTCACCCACTCCAAAAAAAATTCCTAATCACCGATGCCCTTTTATTAGCCTTCCACATCACACACATTTGGGTTTTCTGCACTTTATACTGTTTGAAAACTCTTGGATTTTCAGAATCATACACAAGCAAGGGTTTAATTTTCAAATCGCCACACGCATTTCCACACAGCACAAGCGTAAACCTATCTTTCATAGGCTTGTGTCCGGGCAATGATTTTTCCTCCTTGGTAATGTATGTCCTCTTAGGCAATCTTTTCCAGAACAGTCCTGTTTCATCACAATTGAAAACTTGTTGCGGTAGGTATCCCTCAGCCTCTGCAAACTCTTTAAATTCTTCAATAAATCTTTCAGCCGCTGGTGTGTCTGAGCTTGCAGCCTCCCCATGCCTCACAACACTATGGATACCACTTCTTTTTCTAAATTTTTCAAACCATCCCCTACTTGCCTTAAAGTCTATCGTATCTGCACTTGTTCCAGGGGTTTTCTTTACAAGGTCTTCGTGCAATACTCTGGCTTTATCACAAATGATGGTCTCTGAAACACTATCACCCGCTAACTCGTTGTTGTGTATCCAAATTAATAACAACTTTTCCACTTCCTCAAGTATTTGTGGTCTTTGTTTTGTGATTGTTCTTATGCCTTTTGCCACTTTAGCACTCAGAATGTCCTCTTTCTTGCTAAGTATAGTGCATATCGTTGATGTGGCTTTGTTGTACTGCCTACAAAGATCAACAACACGTATACCATTTTCATGTTTCCGAATGATCTCTTGTTTTTCCTCCATTGTCATCCTCACATGCGCTTTCTTGCCTTGATCCTTACCACTGGCTTTCTTGTGACCCATGGTGAGATATATAATAACAAATTTTATGGTCAAATAGCCAAAAATCCAAAAAAACACTGAAAATCCTGGTGAAGAATTCAGGCGGGATAGTCACTGGGCACGAGGCACTGGTAAACTGAGCGGCGAACATCGTGCCACCACACGCTAGGTCGGCCTATACACGTATCAACACTGTCGCCTTCCGAGGCAACCCTCGTATTCCGATGCAAATTTTCCGAGCGAATCCTGCTCATATTCCGAAATCTCGTATACAGGCACACTCGTATTCCAAGGTACTGTACCACTGTATAATAATTACTTTTATGTTCAAAAAACAAAAAATCACCACAATAATTGAAATTTCTTACAAGCGTGATCGTCCCTAAGCGGGCGGCTCTGGTAAACTGAGGAAGATCTGCCAATGCCACCAGGAACGCTTGGTCGACCCGAACGCGTATCAACGAATATCATTAGTTGACGACACTATCGAGTCGCATTTTCTGATCAAATTTATATTGTAACTCGAAATCATCGTAAGTCGAGGTGTCACTGTAGTTTAAACTCTTTATTAAAATATAAATTACTTTATTTTCTAAAATCAGAATAAATATACTGTGCTTTGATCAAGATTTGATTTTGAAAATCAAATAATAATCTACACAATACTGTATTATAATCTTACTATTCCACACCACCAGTTATTATCCATGTTCACATTTAGAAGCACACAATACCATTTTGGAACACCTCACTTTTGGTGAAGAAATCTAGCATTTAATTTGTCATGTACTTTATCATGCTATCTTTATTTCATTATGTTAAAAATTATTTGTTCTAAACTGTAATTGTTATACTTTACTAATAATTTGTAATTTGTCTTTCACTGATTATTTCATACAGGACAATGGCCTGAGTGCTCACTTTGACGAACATTTATGCTACATGCTGACTCCAGCATTATGGTCCTATGAGAGGAATGCCACAGAGGGTGACGACGACACTAAGAGTAGAGGTGCAGAACTCTTCTCCGCTGCCTTGATGCATACTGTGCCAGAGGGGCACATTTTTAAAGCATTTCCCTTGCACTTTGTACATTGTTCTCCTCGTCGGGCTTTCAGTACTATATTAAAGTAAGATGCTCTACAATTGTGTGTTTATGTAGACTATTTTTTTCTTTATTTAAATCTTTCTAAACCTTCTTAAAGTTTTACAGTTGAGATTTATAAATAATTCTATTATTTGTTATATTAATGACATTTAACATTCTTCCTTTTTATTAAAAATTATGTCAGTGATATAGAAAATTCATTGCCTGTATTCATCCTGAGATGAAGACATGCAGTGAAATTCATTACAATTAATAGCTTACTCTGGTCTTTTGTAAAAATTTTCTCACATTACTTTTTCCAGTCTGCTATTCCTTCAGTTTCATTCTGATAGTTTTATATGTGCCATAGTTTTTGGATAATGCCAATTTGTTATTTTTTGGTTATTTTGAGGAGAGCCTCGTATGGGTCCCTGAAGCTACAATGCTGATAGTGTCCAACTACTAGGCTCCATCAGTCGTAGAATTCTTTTAGGCCCACTGGGGACCATGAGCCCAAACCTGACCATCTCTAATGGGTTGCAGAGAACAGTGGCACCATGATAAAATTATCATTGAATTTTAATCATGTACTCCACCACTGGGGAAAACATCCACAGAGTCAGTGAAAGAAAACAGACCACTGCTGGTTATAACAAATATTAAGACCTCAAAATTGCTTGAAGAACACCCCAAAAAATTAAAACAAATGATTGAAAACTCATGAAACTAGTGCTAGCTGATTCGCCTCACCTCCCCACCTTATATGAGGGAACTGATATAGTGCTATATAAGTTTGGGGTCATCAGTCAGAGTTCTTCGCCTACCAGAAACCGCAAGCCAGAACCTGGGCCACACAGAGATGTGCAGGGAGCAATGGGCTATGAGCACTTTATATTTAAAATATAGTGAAACCTCAGTTCTCATAAGCCTTCTCAAAAGTTCTCATAAGCAAGTGGCTGTCTGTACAAACATTTTTGGAAATGGTAACTTTTGGACTCCCGCAGTGAAAGATGAAAAAGTATGTTAATCCGGAAAACGTGCTAATGTGAACCTTTAACACTGAGAGATAAACAAGTGAAATGCCGGGCCTAACACTCATTGTACACCACCACCACCAGGGAGGTAGGGAGGGAGTCGGTCAGGAAGAGAGGAAGGGAGTGAGTCGGTCAGGAAGGGAGGGAAAGAGGGAGGGAGTCGGTCAGGAAGGGAGGGAGAGAGAGAGAGAGAGAGAGAGAGAGAGAGAGGGAGAGGGAGTCGGTCAGGAAGGGAGAGAGGGAGGGAGGGAGTCTGTTAGGAAGGAAGGGAGGAAGAACGTGTTGAGTGTGTGAGTACCAGACGTGACTCGCTTAAGCCTACTGAAGGAAGGTGGCACTGAAGGTGTTGCAAGAATTATATGGTTTTCTTATTGCCATGGAGATCTAGTTACGAATATTAAATAACACACTATAATATTTGAACAGTACAGTATTTGGTTTGCTATTTATTTATTTAAATATTTACAAGAAAATAAAATGGGATTTAACAGAACTTATGGCGCATATATTAAAGTCATCGTACAGCGTGTCAACACCCACGTGTTGACACATGTGGAGGGGAGTTGAGATGGCTAGCGTGAGGTGGGGGAAGGGGGGTGACCAAGAAGGAGATCACAGATGTGTGATCTGTCTCTTTCCAGTCTCACCCACCCTTCCACCTGTTCACCAACTTGTCCACCTGCCTGCACGCCCACCTACGCACCTGCCTGCATGCCCACCCACCTGCTCACCCACACATCTGTTCACCCATCTGCCTGCTTGCCCACCCACCCACCTGTTCTCCCACAATGCTCGCCCACCCACCCACCTGTTTACCCACCTGCCTGCTCACCTACCCACCCACCTGTTCACCCATCTGCCTGCTCACCCACACACCCACTTGTTCACCCACCTACCCACCAACCAGGAGGCCTGGTCGACGACCGGGCCACGGGGACACTAAGCCCCGGAAGCGCCTCAAGGTAACCTCAAGGTAACCTGTTCACCCATCTGCCTGCTCACCCACACACCCACCTGTTCACCCACCCACCTGCCAACCCACCCACCTGCCAACCCACCCACCTGTTCACTCACCTGCCTCCTCACCCACCTGCCTCCTCGCCCACCTGCCTGTTCACCCACCCACCCACTTGTTCAACCACCTGCCTGCATGAGCACTTACCCACCTGCCAACCCACCCACCCACCTGCCTGCACAGACCTGCCAACCCACCCACCTATTCACCCACCTGCCTGCTCACCTCTTGCTTGCTCGCCCACCTGCCTGCTCGCCCACCTGCCTGCTCGCCTCCTGCTTGCTCGCCCACCTGCCTGCTCGCCCACCTGCCTGCTCGCCTCCTGCCTGCTCGCCCACCTGCCTGCTCGCCCACCTGCCTGCTCGCCCACCTGCCTGCTCGCCCACCTGCCTGCTCGCCCACCTGCCTGCTTGCCTCCTGCTTGCTCGCCCACCTGCCTGGTCGCCCACCTGCCTGCTCGCCTCCTGCCTGCTCGCCTCCTGCCTGCTCGCCTCCTGCCTGCTCGCCAACCTGCCTGCTCGCCCACCTGTCTGCTCGCCTACCTGCCTGCTTGCCCACCTGCCTGCTCGCCTCCTTCCTGCTCGCCTCCTGCCTGCTCGCCTCCTGCCTGCTCGCCCACCTGCCTGCTCACCCACCTGCCTGCTTACACACTTGCCTACTCACCCACCCACCTGTTCACCCACTTTCTAGCCCACCCACCTGTTCACCCACTTCTCTGCCCACCCATCTGCCTGCTTGCTCACCCACCTGTTCACCCACCCACCTGTTCACCCACCTGCCTGCTTGCCCACCTGCCTGATAGCCCACCTACCCACCTGTTCACCCACCTGCCTGACCACCCACCTGTTCATCCATCCATCCACCTACCTGCTCACCCACCTGCCTGCTCACCCACCTGCCTGCTCACCCACCCACCCACTTGCCTGCTCACCCACCCACCCACTTGCCTGCTCGAACCTGTTCTCCCACCTACCCGTTCACTCATCAAGCCCTTCTGCCTGTCATCAACCCATCTAAAACCTACCTGCCTGAACCCACCCACCTGCCTGCCCACCCACTTTCCCTGCCCCACCTATCAGCCAGGCAGCTAACCACCCATCTAGCCCCACCCTTTAATTAGTGTGTGTCAATTCAAATCATGATTGTGGTATGAAAATTGTTGGAAATGTTCCCTTTTGGACTCCGAGGTGAAAGAGTATGTTAATCCAGAAAACGTGATAATCCGGCTGGAGGTCCTTCGCATACAGTCCAGATTAGCGAGCTGATACAATACCTCCATTCCCCCTTCCCCCCCCATCCCGCACCATCCCCCACTACTTCCATACCCCCCTCATCCCGCTCCCTCCCTGCTACCTTTAACCCTTTAACTGCGCAACGCGCATGCAGGCCCATGTCTGGGGTGCACTACGCACCTCCAGGTATTTGTATTTTTCACGTTCCATTCAAAACTCCCACAGCTATATGGGGTTCACATCAGCTTCCTCAGGGCTCTTGTAAACAGATGCCATCTTTAACCACTTAACTGCGCCAACCGAGTATTCTCGGTCAGTGGGAAACTGCGCCAACCGAGAAAACTCTTTTTGATTTTTTCGTACCCACTCTAAATGTGTGCGAGGTTGGTTGTGTACGAAATTTGACTCTAGGACCTCCAGTGAGAGGCAGCCATCTTGGAAAAAAAATTCCCAGAATGCCCTAGGACTGCTGGCTGGGTTAGTTCTTAGTGAGCAACCATGTGTGGCGCATGCGCCTCTGGCTCCCAAACACCTGTTCGACGCGATGTTGAATGATAACGCTCTGTCGGTGAAATTCATACCTTAGTGTTTGAAGAACATAAGGGTCATAATATTGGTGAAGCTAGGTGCAATAAGGACCTAACACAAAGGTCGGATGCAAGTGATACAGCACCTCTGAGGACGATACAGCGAGCATATCCAGTTGTAGCTCTGAGTGTCACCCTTGCAATCCTATGCTATCTCTAATTTATTTAGATGATACGTAGATGAATCGTTTTTCTGTGTTCAGTAATGATTCATCTGATACAAGTAGCATAGATGAACAGTGTTAGCGGCTTTCATGGTGGTGTTTTCCATAGATATTTTTGAAAATACCTGAATCTCTTCCTGACTGACGGACACTCTTGAGGCTAGCTGAATCTCTTTCTGACTGATGGACACTCTTTGAGGCAAGCTGAATTTCTTCCTATGTGGGACCATACAAAGCGATCTTTTCAAGACTATCTTACAAATTGATCTTTTCCTATAATCTTTTCAATACTAAAGCTTGGGTACATACAACCTACAAGTACTAAAGCCAAGGGTGTCCGTGAGTGTGTTATTTGCAAGCACACAGAATGAAGAAACAGGAAGCGAAAATTTATCTGTACCTGGTATAACTAGAGCGAAGTCGTGCTGTGCACCATGGACTACTTTGTTGATTATTACTCACTTCCGAGGTACTGAGTGTGTAATACAGTGTGTTACTGTGTAAATAGTGTGTGAAACTGTACATATTGTAATTTTAGTAAATTTTTAACAAGTAATATTGGGATAATAAACATTTATTGTGGACACATTACTGACAGATGTATCACAGTTCCAGGGAACATTATGAACGTTCTACTGTATACATATTGTAAAGGACACACATATGCATCATATACGATAAAAAAAAACAAATAAAACCACATTGAAAATACATAGAACAAATAATTGTAAACATATTTGTGGCAACACCCGGTGCTTGAATGGCCCGCGCGACCGTGTCTGGCCGATTCATGCACGGGCGACCAGGCCCTGATGACGTCACAGTGCACCTTGTTCACATCCCCACAGCCTAAGCAAGTGGAATTTGGTATTTATTTTTACATAGACATGTTCAGGGAAGGGAATTTTATCATT